ATGTGGCATCTTTCCTGTGTTGAAGTTACCATCATTGAGCTCTCTTGTGCCCAGGTTTGTTACAGTGCTACCAAAGTCCCTCAAACTTTTCTAAAAGCTACCCTTTTCTGGCCTTGAATCCTGATGACTGTACCAAACTTGCTACCTCTGTGATGGACTTAACGTGGGATTCGAATTCAAGAGCTCTGGCCATCGCATCTGTACAGTAGAGGGGTGTGCTTGCTTTACTTGTATCTTCAGTTATGGATGGTCCAAGGCATCTACAAACTGATCCCTCAGCAACAGCTTGAGGAGATCGGGTGGTGCAGTTGGGTAGGGCCTGTGTGCCATACTTTCCAAATCCTGTGCCAGCTCTTGCAGGCTCTCCCCTTTAGCATGGACTATTGTCCTAAACCTAGCCCTGTAGACTTTGGTCTGATTTTGAGTTCCATACCTGAGCTCTAGAGCAGCTACCAGTGCTCTATAGTTGTGCCTGTCATCTGCTGACAACTGTCCAAGTATTTTCAGTGGTTGTACCTTCAGGCTAGATACACTGCTTTCTGCTCCTCTGTCCATCCACTCATTTCTGTCAGGAGCTCAAATTGTGCTCTATATGCTTCCCATAGTGCCTTCCCATTGAATTCCTGTGGCTTTCTTCGAACTAGATCACCTCTATTGCTGACACTCATGTCTGAAATATGACTTCTGGCAGGACTGAAGATGTCTGCATTAGGGTTTAGCGCGGGGTCTGGAAGGGGCTTCATGTTGTCTGAGGCTGATTAGGTCTATGGCTAATATATCCTCCCAGTGTAAAAGACAGTAAGTCATCCTTTAATGTATTTAATTCACTTTAAAATTTACTAATCTTTTTCCATTTGTACTTCTTGTTTCCTTTCTTGTTCCAGTTGCTATTGGTGCTGGTTTTCTTGCCACTGCTGTAGTCTCTCTTCTTGCTTATTTTCTTTCTCCTCCAATCACTGCTGTAGCCTCTCTTCTTGTTTCTTTTCTTTTTTCGTCCAACAATTGCTGTAATATCTCTTGTTTCTTTTCTTTTTTCCTCCAACAACTGCTGTAATATATCTTGTTTATTTTGCTGTTCGAGCTGCCACTGTTGCAGGTTATTGTCTCTCTTCCGGTTTCTTTTCTCGTTTCCATCTTTCTTTTTTTTGTCCTACTCTCTAACACCAATTTGTTACGTATCTGCTTGTTTGTTAATTTCCGTTATAAATTCTTTCAGAGGAACTTCAGTGATACAAGTCCCTTCTTGATTAAAACTAGTTTATTCTTTCTCGATACAAACTTTGTAATACACAGAATTTCCACAGTTAATACGTTTTCTCGTTGCTTTACTTAACAACCTTTATAACGCACACTATAAATCACAGTAATTCACACACTTTACTTATGGTGCATACTGTTCGCTTGACTCAATTATCTCTCTCTCTTCACTCTATCTGCCCCACTGGTTTTTCTTGCCAGGCTTATATATTAAAAAAGAGGGCAGCTCGATCAGACTAGAGTTGCAGAGCAATTGCATGATCCTTCGAGAAACTCCTGAGCGTATGCTCCCAGCGTCACGGGACTTCCGCTGTCGTAACAATACTTTATCTCTTATTTTCTCTACCCTAACACTAACTGCAGTAAAATCATCAGTGTACAGTGAAATGAAACTTTGAAAATATGAGATAAAATCAACATTTTCCTATTATGACTATAGGTTGTAACATACAGTTACGATAATTTATCCTAACAGCTACTACTTCTAACCTTTTCACATTTGCTTTAGTACTTTACAATGTAATTTAGACCCTCTCTCAATCAGGTTACAATCACACAATGCACATAGAAAAAGCTAATCAACTGATATTTTTTATTTAATTTTTGCATTCAAACTTATTACCTTAACTAATAAGTTTAAAATTTTTACATTTCAGTTACTTTTGTTAAAAATAGATAAAAAGTATACATAAAAAACAAATCTAGAGTTGAGGCCATTTGCACACAGATACTGTACTTTGGTAACCATATTTTTTTTCTCACAGTGTTGGTTGCCTAAAAAATAATTCATGTAGCTTTCAAATATGCATTTTAGAACAAAACCAAAATATATGTCTCAAAACCACTATAATTCATCTGGTTTTGTAACTAAGTTATAAATAGGTTAAAAATTACTTTAATGCTTGGAACAATGACTTAGGTCTTCATACACAAGAAACTTTACTTGTGAACTACTGACTCTGACCACCAAAACTAAATAAACAAATGTAAGAGCCCAGTATATTTAAAAATGGTTTTCTATTGACTAAAACATGTCCATTAAATATATACTATGTGGTTTAGAAATGAACCTAAAGCTATGATAAGATGGAAGGAGTCTCTCTTGTGGGTTTGACAAATTTATCGATATCTCAGCAAATTGAGAAGTTACGAGGTTCAAATTTTGTATAAGGGGAAATTCAGTACTTGAGATGAATCAAGTGACACATAGAAGTGAAAGTTGAGAATTTACTTAAATATTTCATTTTGATGCTAAGTTTATTGACATACTTGAAAATGAAGTTGTTCAATTAAATTTTGAATGTAACTCTGTAAAAAAGGTCGTTCCATGCACAGTTTGACCTATTCAGATGCATATAATTAACAGAACACTGTATGTATAAGGTCATCAAGAAATTAAGGTCACTTTTTTTAGATGA